CAGGACCTCAGTTTCCTCACATGTAAAATGGGGCTCCCACACTTTCCCCAGGGGCTTGCCATGGGGTGGATAGGGGAACCACGGGTCAGCATGCCCACAAGGGCAGCCACAGCTCTGGCTGGTCACTCGCTTCCCTGGGCCTCGCCCAGTTCCTGGCTGAGCAGGTGCATATATAACAAATGCCGAATGACCAGGGCTCAGGAGCCAAGGGACCTTGGCAGCTGTGGAGAGGTCACCTCCTTTCTCTGGGCAAGGAGGACTCCCAAGAGGCCCCAGTGAGGCCAGGTACCTGCCAGGACAGCCTCAGTACCCTGTCAGCATTCGGTGGGACACACTGGCCTCCACCAATGTGTTAAGCAAAGGCAATAAAACGAATGTGTCCCTGATCAGATTTAAAACATGGAGGCTTGTGCACACTCACCCATCAATGAGCCTGACTGCCATCCCGTCTCTTACCCTTGTGTGCAGGCAGGTGCCCCCACAACCCCGGGATTCCTCACTGTGGCGAGAGTTGATGCACTCGGGCCTCCCAGTCCCTCCCAGGTCAGTGTTGTGGGCTAGCACAAGCCCACTCACCCCGAGCGACAGAGACGGGCCCTGGCCAGGCCCTGTGGTGCGGAAGGCCACGTCCAACCTGGGCTCGGACCCAGGGACTGACAGGACTGAACCCCAAGCTCACCTCTTGGGTGAGACGCTGAGCTGACCTGAGCACCTGACTGCTTCCCTGCAAAGTGGGAGAAGAATTCAGGCCCACGATCCAAGATGCTCCAAATCCCAGATGCTCAGTGCCAAAACCCATCTGGCAGCAGGCACAACACGGGCTGCCACAGGATTTATGGTCTCTCCTCATGCCTTTTGCTACAGAGTTGGGAGTGGGCGGTGCCTTCCAGATGGTGCTAGGGAGGAAACATGGGGGTTCTAGCTCCCAAGCCTGCATTCCAGGCCACAGCTGGTCCAGGATCTCAGCCAGGGGGCCACAGTTTGTTGAACCGGACCTCAAGGTTTTGAGGGAATCAAGTGGGCTGACTCCTGAAGGGCTTCTCACACGGCCTGGCAGGTCACATTTGAGGAAACAGAGGCCCAGGAAGGGGCAGGGCAGTCACACGGTCAGCAGGTGTGGAAGCTGGCCCTGAGGGTCTCGGGACTCCAAGCGCACCTCCCATGAGGCCCCAGCCATGTGGAGAAAACTTAAAGGCAGGAGAGAGGATGGGCGGCAGTTATGTCTGGGCCTCGGTTTCCCCATCAACAGGGTGATGGGCTGTGTGGCTTCTAAGGATCCTCTGGACCCTGAGATTTCTGGGATCTGGTCACAGCAGAGACCTCTGGCAGGCAGATGCTGCCTGTGGCCCTCGTCTGCCTCGGTTTTGAGGAGACACAACATGTGAGTCTCGCTCCTTGGGGTGGGGCTCCAGGCACAGTTCTGTGGGAGGACACGTCCTGCTCTTTGGCGGTGGGTCAACTTGTCCGCTTGCTGTACGGGCAGCAGGGTCTGGCACACGGCCATGAGGGCCCAGGAGCCGGAGGGGGAGCTGGAGGCCAGTGCTGCCGGGCCAGACGTGACAACTCAATTCCAGCAATGAGGCGGGGGGAGGGGAAACGCGGAGGTCACCAGTCCTCTCCCTGAGGAACGGCCCAGAGTAGAGACTGGGTGCCGGCTCTGAAGTCACATAGACCTGCGCTAGAGCCCAGCTCCGCCACTTGCTTGCCTCAAGGTCCCAGGCAAGCCGCTTCCCTTCCCTGGGCCTCAGCTTACGTGTCAACAGAATGGGGAGAAGAATGGTAAGCATCTGAAGGAACTGGGAGGATTCGCAGGGATACAGCACAGGAAGCCCTTAGCACACAAGAGGTGCTCCTCAGTCAAGGCGGGCTGTGAGCGTTTAGACCCCGAAGGCACGGGCGGGGCTGGACCCTGAATGACCAAAGATGGGGTTGTAGAAGACAGGATGGCCCATGGGATGACAGGCTGGGTCTCTTGAGCAAGGCACATCACGGAGAAGAAAGGTGTGTGTACGTGTATGTGTGCTGGGCTGTGTGCTAGGTTAGAGAGGTCAGCACTCGAGCAGCCAGATGTGTGGTCCTGGATGGGGCTCTGGACATTCTGGGGACAATAGGGAAGGTGACTATGGCCTGGGCTTTGGAGACGGAAACACTGACACCGAAAGGGAATTTGTTAACTCAAAAGGCAGGTAACCAAATAGCATTTATAGCATGATCTTGCCTTCTTGAATAGCTTGCACACCCCCACCCACAAATACTCAGGGAAAGGCATGAGCTGTTACCAGGGGTCGTTTCTGTGTGATAACAACCAGGGTACTTTGATTTTCCTGTTTTGTGAACATTTCTTATAGAGATGGGGGTCTCACTATGTTGCCCAGGATGGTCTCAAACTCCTGGCCTCCAGTGATCCTCCTGCCTCGGCTCCCACATTGCTGGGATTACAGGTGTGAGCCAGCCTGGCCATCTTGACTTTTGACTTTCTGCTCTCCTGTCTCCTCTTCCCCTCATGTAGAAATGATAACTTGAAGACTAAAGATAAGAGCCCAGACTGGAACCATATGGCCTGACCTCCAACCCAGCTCTCTGTCCCTTCCCGGTAGACAACAGTGTTAGGAGACACCAAGGTGCTCTCCGGAGCTAGCAGGAAGGTAGGAGGGGCCGGGAAGGGAGGGGGTGGGGGCCACCAGGTGAGGAGCCAGCACAAAAACAGAACCCTTGAGGGGTGAAGGGATCGGCTGGCCTAAGCACACTTGGATGGCAGGGCCAGGCCTGACCACGCCTTCTGATCTGGAGCTGGCCGCCAGCCACCACCAGTCCCAGCAGGCCACAAGGAACGTCCTTGGCGAGAAAAGACTCCTCACCACAGAGAACGTCAGGGAGAGCACACCACTGCTCCGCCTGGAGGAACCATGGTACTTGCAGTCATCTCCCAACTGGAACCCTGCCACAGCCAGGGAGCTTCCTGTGCACTCCAGGTGGCGGGGGCGGTTGTTGGGCCCCCTCCCTCCCTAGACTGCAGGGGCGGGAGCCTTCTGACGCTGGCCTGAGTGGACATACCATCTGCCTGGAAAGAGGGCACACGCAGGAAGCCGGGATGCAGGAAGGCCGGTCATTTGCCAAGTTTCTCCAGCAGTAACCCTGGGGCTCAATTCAGGGCTCTGGGACCCCCCGGGCAGGGTGCTTTTGACCAGCTCTGTGCCCTATTCTGAGGCTTCTGGGATCTGAGGGACACCCTTACCTTTCAGCACAAGACAGTTATGATAAGGAGCACTTACTATGTGCCAGACACTGAGTCAAGGGCTTTATGTGCATCTTTTCCTTTGCTTGCAGGGAAACCTTCTCAAGGTGGGTATTACTATTATTCTCATTTTCTGGATGATGGACTCATGGCCTCTATAGACAAGCTGGCTTGCCCAAGATCACATGACTAGTGGTGGGGGGGGCCGAGCTGAAGACCCCATGGTCATCTAGTTTGGTGTCCTCAGCCCTTGGAGTGCAGTGATGTGATCATAGCTCACTGTAGCCTCAAACTCCTGGCTCAAGCAATCCTCCCACCTCAGTCTTCTGAGTAACTCAGACCACAAGTGTGGGCCATCACATCTGGGAACTCATATTTATATTTTATTTTGAGACAGGGTCTTGCTCTGTTGCCCAGGTTTGAGTGCACTGGCACCATCATGGCTCACCGCAGCCTTGACCAGCCTCCCAAGTAGCTGGGACTACAGCTGCACACCACCACACTTGGCTAACTTTTCTGTAGAGACGGGAACTTGCTATGTTGCTCAGGCTGGTTTTGAATTCTTGGGCTCAAGTGATCCTCCCACCTTGGCCTCCCAAAGTACTGGAATTACAGGTGTGAGCCACCGCATCCAGTCACGCGGGAGCTTTCAAAAGCTACAAGTGATGGAGTCCTGCCAAGACCAGTGAAATCAGGTGGGGCCAGGCATCCCTGGCGTCTTTCGGGAACTCCCAGGTGGTTCTGATGTGCAACTGAGAACAAGAACCACCGCAGCGGGCCATGAGGAGGGTGACAGTCGCACATGCGAACTGTGCGCAAATGTCACTCCAAAGCCAGGTGGCTGGGAGTGGGTGGCACGAAGCCGAGGCTGGCTTGGGAGGCTGCGCTGGCCAAGGCATGCAGGCGGCGGCTGCACCGGGCACGAGCGAGCGGGTCCCTGCGCAGGAGCAGCGTCCTGTGCCCAGGGAATGAGAAAGAGGGAGGGCTGCGGGGAGGAGGCTCTGGGAGTCCGGCCGCTGTCCCCACCCCCCGCCCTACGGCTGTCAAGGGCATCCGCGGAGGCCAAGGGCTCCAGGCCCCCAGCCGACAGGCTGGAGGCTGGCGGTCGCCCGGCTGCGTCCCAAACACAGCGCGTCCAGCCC